ATCCTTGCTGTGGCAGCTCAAGGGAGCAGGGAGAGGGAGGAGAGTTCTCAGGCTAGGAGGGACAGGAGAACAAGGAGGGAGGGGCAGAGGCGGGGAGACCCCATGAAGAGCCCGGAGACCCCATGGCAGAGGCAGACTGTTCTCCAGCCGCTGCCCCCAAGGAGGGGGTGGGGGACAGGAAAGCATGGCCGCCGACAACCCAGGGTCTGTGGCTCATTCGGTACACATTTGTATAATATTCAGGTTTTGATTGAAAATGGAAATCGAATTGATGGTTTCACTTTGGACAGAAAGGAGCTGAGAATATCTTTAGAATATCTAAAAATAAAACAAAGGCAACCCCTTCCCCACCGAAAAACAACAACAACAGCAACAACCCAGTTACACCGAACCACTTTGAAAAGGGGCTCTGTGGAAAATCTGTCCCTGATTCGGAGTCTGGAGTCCCCCTGTCCCCCTCGCCGACTCGGGCCCTGGCCGCTGTGCCTGTGGGGTTCTGCCCACCCCGACAAGGCTGGCCATGGCGGGCTCTCCAGAGGACGCCCGGACCCAGGGACCCATCTGTCTTGCAGCAGATTAGAAAGATGTCACGTTGCCGACAATGCCATTTATCACGGCGGCTGCAAAAATCAGTGATGCTTGGGCTACCCGTGTTTGGGTGGGGGTCGGGGTTGGCAGGGGGCAGCAGTCACTGCTCCCCCATGTCACCAGGTCAGGGGAGGAGCAGACTGAGCTCTGGACAGCTCATCCTCTGAATAGGGGAGTTGGGGTGCTTGGCCCAGTCCCCGGGCCTGACGTTGAAGAGATGGTCAAGCCAGGGCCCAGATTCTAGAAATAACTGGTGGTAGTCATTATACATTAATGACCTGGTTTTAAATAAAGGTCCAGCCTTGGTCTGTGACTGGGGTCGGGGCTCCGTGTGTAACCAGGATCGGGGCGCAGTATATGACCTGGAGCAGGGCTCAGAGTGGGACCAGCGGCAGGGCTCAGCATCCGATCTGGGCTGGGGCTCAGCCATCATCAGGGTCAGTCTGGGTTGAGACCCCGAACCAACATCGGGATGAAATCCTCATGGTTTCACTGTCGCAGTGTGGAACGCAGCTCAGCCTGGCCCAGCGGCCACAAGATGCAGGCGGGGCTTGGAAATTGTCCCTGGAATTAGCGCTTACCCGTGGGCTAAGTCTGTGGTCCCTGCCACTCTTTGTGGCCCCTGGGGAAAGAGGGGAATCGGAGGGTTCAGGACACCTCTTTGGAGGAGGAAGACGCTCTGCAGAGAGATGGACCTGCCAAGGAGTGTCAGATGGGCGGGGCCTTCCTCAGCTCATGAAAGGACGGGGGCCATCTAGCTCGGGACCACTTGGCACCACGGCCTCTGTGCCTTGGCCTTGCCTCCCCCATGATGCTACCCCCTGGTCAGAAGGGGATAATCCCCAGGTCTGGTTGAGAACAGAGCTGGCCCTGTGGCCTGGCAGGGAGCTCTGCTCTGATCCTTGTAAGACTTACGTCTACCTGTGTCCTTGGGAAGTGGGTCCCGTGCACATGACAAACATTTGCCGAGTGTCCAGTGTGCCAGGCTGCGGCTGAGCCCTAGCAGAGTAGGGGCAGAGGCTCAGCCTTGCCCGCTAGGAGCGCAGTGACCGGGCAGGAGGACAAAGAGCCACTCTCTCCCATGGACAGGCAGGTACTGGACAGTAGGTGAGGCTCCGGCATGGTGGGTGCCAACATGCACGGAGCTCTCGGCTGCTTGTTGGGCCGTGAAAGGGTCACCCAGGGTTGGTTTGGTGGGGAAAGGGCAGTCCCATGGCCCCGTGGGCACTGAGGTCGGGGCTGGTCTCTGCTGTCCTGCTGCTGTGTTCCCCGCCTGATGCCTGGCCACTGCCCTGGCTCCAGCAGCTGGGGTACGTGGTGGAGACTAAGGTTCGAGGTGCCGCCTCTTGTAGGTCCTGGGCAGGAACTGAAGAGAGGCCCTGCCTGTCTGTGCTCCCCCGACCCAGGGACAAATGACTTGCCATATACAGGCACACAGATAACGGTGGTGTTTAAGAACCGCACCCCACTGCCCTCCACATTCTTTCTTTACCCTGCATGCACCTGGACACAAGACACACACACACACACACACACACACACACACACACACACACA